TTTGGATATCTCATGAGAATGATGACCAGTTTGGCAACATTTTATGCCCACTTCAAGTAGCTGTTTACTCTTTCAGTAGATTTTTCTTCATCTCAATTTTTTAAAGAAATTTGTTCCTTATATAATTGAAGCCCTCGTTAGGACAATCTTTTGATGAAACTGCATGAATATGTCGACAAAGCTCAATAAAATAATTAGCAGGGTTTTTTCTTGACAGCTTAACTAGCCACTGTTTKATTAGAGCTAATGATAATCACTATAATCACTCTAACAAGCATCTCGTCAGACACTTATCAGTCTCATTTTTCAGTCTAAATGCATGAACAACGTATAAACTACAATAGGTACAACTCATCGCTTCACTTCGTCTAGCCTTTGCTGCAGAAGACACGAATCAACCGTCGAGAAGAAAATTAAACACCATGAAGACTTCAGTCGTGATGTTTTGTGCGTTGATTCTTTGCATGCTCAGCTTGGCTGCGGCTAAAGGTAATTTTTAAATTCTCAAAAGACTTAACAACAAACAYTCTATATTTTTATGAATCACAAGGGATCCCTAAGTTTTTAAGGTGTGACCAACTTGAATTTGGTAGGAGAACATTGATTTCATGTTCTATAGCCGCCTATATTCCCAGTCCTTTGCTGAATTGGATTTTACTGAAGTAAATGAGGAGTGGTCCGTTTTAAAACTGACTTACGTCTTTTGATCTTCAGCGTTGGAAAATCCACCACCAAATCATCCACCACGTTTCAAACGGGTCGCAGGCGGTTTGAAAAATCTACCTCCAAACCACCCACCACGTTTCAAACGGGTCGCAGGCGGAACGCCCGCCGCCGACAACAAGTACAACTTTGTGGTTAAGATTACGCGAAATAGCGAAAAATATCCGTTCTGTCATGGCACCATCATCAGTTCTCGCTGGATACTGACAAGTGGGCTTTGTTTCAATGGCAAAACCCCAAAAGATGTGTTAGTCTCTGCTGGTATGAAATATAAAATAACTGAAAATAAAAGTCCGTAATAAAAATTGACTATACCGTTATAACTTTTTCCATTTCCAGGAACAAAAAGAACTTCAGGTGAAATTGTGATATCCGAAGTCGAGAAATTGATCATTCACGATGATTTCGATCGCAAAGCCGCTACTTCTGATTTGGCACTCATGAAGTTGTCCAAAGAATTAGAATTAGGAACTTCTGCAGAATCTCTGAAAGCTATAGACCTTCCGGAACAAAATGAGACAGAGACAGTTGGTGAAAAGTGTTTCATGGCAGGTATGG